CCCTATTCCGTATTCAAGGACCTTTGGAATGATCTCTGACCGAATACCATGCGTGACAGGTGGCAACGTGGCGATTTATCCATGATTTCAAGGAGTTCGGGGAAAGACAGTAGACTATACTTCACAGTGGTCGTGTGGCGAAATCGTCACCTTCAATTTAACCATTGAACTGTTGATTTTGTTGATTTTTTGTGGTTGATGTTGATATCTGTGATGTTTGATGTTGATATATGATGTTGACTTTGAAAATTATATCTTATATAATGTAAATCTAAAGCAAAATAATATAATTAAAAGTCAATTTGTGTTGAAATGTGTCCGTAGCACGATTGAGGTCAACCCAGCGTGCTACTTTTCCCGTCAGGGAGGGCACAACTTATGTTGATGTTGCGGGTATGCCATTTTGCCGGCTGCCCCACTGTTGTGTAGACCACTGTGGACAATACCTGCCAACTCGAATAAAACATTAAACTTAAATACTTAGCATAATTATTATTTGTTTATTATATATAGGTCTTTGATAACGGGTATATTATCTATCACAAATAAAACTTAACATAGTAATAACTTTAGGAAAAGAAAAAAACAAACAAAAAATAAACTAGATAAGAAAATAAACATTTCAAACTCACCGCTGCCAAAAAGTACTCAAAATACCGTATAAGTGGAAATTTTAGCGAGCCGCAAATTTGGCGATCTCTACCTAAAATCTGGTATTTTATTTATAGCGAGAAGTAATTTTAGCGATTTTGAAATGCTTGCTAAAAGAGCTATTACAATTAATACGCAATTAATCTTTAGCGATATTCAATTTTAGCGATGTCAGCACCCTCGCTAATAATGCCAAAATTAAATCCTCGCTACAAATTCTACTTATACGGTACTTTACTGTCCACACAGGAAAACTTCTCAAACACACCAAACATTCAGGTCAAATGCACACAACTATTTGTCTGGAGACCACACAGGTCATACAACAATTTCACTTACCCCCCGTTCACACATAGACGCCGCTTCTACTACGATCAAAGCGTGGCTGCCCCGTACGAAACTCTTAACCGTTTTCCAGCCGGAGTCCGGGCGGACTGAGACGGATTCCGGTTAAGTGCTAGGAGGACCAAGCCGTACCTAAGGCGGACATGGAAAACGTCTAAGCTTTAACCGTTTTCCGCCTCATATCTTAGGTGGATTCCACCTTAAATCCTAGGCGTATTTTTGTTAGACGTTTTCCGGCTTAGCTCTTAGACGGAATCTGCATTAATCTTAGAATTGTGAACAGTTTAAATTATGACAACACGTTTTATTCCTCTAGATGACCTTGTTTTCTTAAGGCACTAATGGGGGAGATATTTGTAAAAATAGTCAACATAACTTTTAATCAATTTATTTGACTTCGAGTATTATGCTTTGTATAACATTGAATATTGCGTTTCCTAGATGAGTAAGTTTTTTGTTGCCATATTTTATATACCAGATATACGTTTCCAATGCGCACCTGCTTGACCCCCCTCTACTGGGGCGGAAATTTTCAGGCAGAGCCTCTTTTTGGATGCACTGGTCAGTTTGATGCAGATTTTGAAAGTGATGACTGTTGTCAATTTGGTCGATGAATCTTTATATTTCATTCAGTTAAAAAGGAACTTAGGCAAGATGTATGCCTGCAAATTATTATTAAGAAGATGATTGTTCATTCGATATGTGTTTTTTGGAAAAAAAAGAGTGACAACTTTTAGTGTTATTCTACTGAGCTTTGAAGTGAAGCAAATTAACATCATGTGCTAAATGGACAGGGATGGACCTCGGTACAGGAATAAATGTGGAAAACAACGGTAAGTTGAATTTTAAGCCGTGTTTTTTGTTTTGTTTTTTCTTTTTCCCCCTCTCTCCCTTTTTTTATTTCGTACAGCCAAAATTTGGACTCCACCATTACTCTGTTAATTAATTCCAATAGCATTGAGGTCCCATATATTCACAATACACTCTACACTAACCCAGATCTTTAAAAAAAATGAGCATTAAATTTCAGGCGTCATTTCTTATTGCCAAATGTAGGGTAGCCTCAAGCCCCCCCCCCCCCATCACCCCCCCACCCCCACCCCTGCAAATTTTCTCAATATTATGAGTGTTTCCCTTTTGGAGTAAAATGTTAAAAAGTGCAGAGATAAAAGATAGGGAAAAAACTAAATTAATTCATTGTTCAATTTTTATATCCTTTTCTTATTTTAATGTGTTTTCCGGAAATATGATTTCCCATTAAAATTAGCGACCGTCACTTACTTCCAGTTTTAAAATCACGGTTGGAAATTTTGTTATGATTTGTGTCTAAGCACTGTTTTAACCAGTGGTTAGTGGAATTGTTACCGAAACACCCTTTTAAAAGTGTAGTTTGCTGCTTAGTTTGGATCAGGAGTCAGGTTTGAGATCTGTAAGTCACCATTTACATTCTAAAACATACATGGATAAGAGTATTATTCACATATGATAAATTGATATAAGTTAGATCTACATATTCCATGAGAAGCTATTTATTTATCATTTGATTATACGTGTTAATTAAAAATATATTTGTAGAAAGGGGTCTTATGTTAGTACCCTTTTCAAATGTATGAAAATTATGAAATAATTAAAACCTCTTTAATATTGAAATTGTAAATATTAGGATTTTCTGCAGTGCACTGAGTGCAGTGTTGTACATTTCAGCACTTCGACATGTACAAGTCCTTAGCGATTATGGCTGATAAAGATAAAATGAGGATAGCGGCAACTACAGCAAGTCAGGATGAAGGCCAGAAGCCACCGCCCATCCACCCTTTCCAGTAAACAGGCAATTCTGTTCTTCTTTGAGAGCTTGCTGAATATTCATGGGGAAAAGGAATGCAATCTAACACGTGCTTCATTCAAATGTAGTGGAGAGTAATGGGAGCCAGTTTATCTATGAACATAACTGGCTGATATCCACAGTAGGTTATGAGAGGTAAGAATACATGAAGATATCAGACAACTGATAGATATGAATGAAAAATTATTCTATATTATGCAAGTTTTAGTGTTGAGAAAAATCACACAGAATGTTTGCATCCTAGCTGATGTGTAATTCAAAATAGAATTCTAAAAGAAGCATTTTATTGAAAAATGTTGAAGAGTTTTTTTAAAATGACAAATTCATCTCAGATTTGTATTTTTTTTACAGACTTCATCATGTGTTGTGTGAAGGATGGCAAAAGGAAAGCTGGAATCATAAAAAAGATAGCTAGGTTATACCACTGATAACTTAGGAAGGAGAACAATAAAAATGACACACTATTTCCTTACAGACAGAAAGAATTTTGTGAAAATATTCAACCAGTTGTAAATTAACAGCTAATTGTTAAATCAAGTTTTGGTACAATATTTTTTATCTTTTAATTTCATGTGAAGGCAAGGCAGGACATTTTCAAATGTAAACATGTTTTGTAGTCATTGAATTTTAAAGAACTAGAAAATAAATGATATAATAATGAGGAACGTCGTGGGGTCGTCAGAAGCGTAGTATGATCGCAGTAGAGTCTTCATGATCGGAGAGCTCTACGCTCTCACCACGCTTATTTTGAACATGTTCAAAACAAGCGTAGCGGGATCGTGGCCAACAAGAATCGGGGTGAAGTCGTAAAGAGGGCGTAGTAGAAGCGCCGTAATCGTACAAGCAGCGTTGAAACATCGTAGAGAGATCTTCATGATCGTAGTAAAAGCGCCAGGAGAGCGTAGGAACTTACCAATCACGCTCATACAACGCTCCCTCTACGTTCGTACTACGTTCTCACTACGATCTCTCTACGTGCCTGAAGATCCTACGAAGACCTGCAATGACCTTACGCCGATCATATCACGACCTATCAGACAAGAGTTTGTTCTTATACCGCTGATATTTGTCCAATAATCATCTGTTAACTACATGTAAAGGGTGACACTATCTTGATGAACATTTACAATTAAGCATTTTCATATCTTGTTACAGTTATAATCATTGAAAATGTCCTAAACCATGTGTTAAAGGCCGGGAAAAAAAATGCGGTCGCAAAATATGTATCATCGCTAAAATTGTACTACAAAAATCTACAGTTTCAAGATATATTTACATCATCACCAAAATCATATTAGAAGCGTAATTCAATCGTAATGTGATCGGCACCACCGTGGCGACATCGCGGTACAGTCATCTAGGTCTGTGTAGCGTCGTAGTATGGTCTTCAATGTCGTAGTGGCAGCGTAGCGTAAACGCACTAGACACGGCTGCTTGTCGGCAATGGTCTGTGTAACATCGCAGTAGAAGCTTGTTAGCAGCGCGTTTGACGTAGGGACATCGTAGTACGGTCGTAACGAAGACCATAATTTGCCAAATCGCTCTATTTTGACGCCGATCGGCTGCGATCTGCCCCGATCCAAAAAATTTTCAGATCGTGGCTTGATCGGGATGATCGCCGTAGAGTCGCAGCTCTGTGTGAACGGGGGGCTAGGGTCATACCCCAAAACAATCAGAAATTGGATAAAAATGTTACGGACATATTTTTTAATAAAATAGATTAATAAGTAAAATCATGAAGACTTAATCGTTTAAAAGCGTCTTTTGCTTCTTTTCGAGCACCGAAGACATTATGTATTGAACAGCCCTCGTACAACAATTATGAAATAAACACAAACGCTCTGAAAATGCAGTTTAATTAGTTTGCAAATTCAATATACACACATTTTCTTTTTCTAATCTCTTCATGCATGTATCTCCGATTTCTACAAAAAAGAAAATAATAATCATAACACAAAATATAAAATAATGATATTCAAATGGTAGCAATGGGCGGGTGAGTGGGACTTGTTAGACTGCACGAAACAGAGCCTTGGAATGGATTTCTTATACATGTCTTTCATGGTCACTTAAGGCCCGTGCTATGAATATATGAATATTTATGTCAGGTTACCTTCCTAACAGTAACAGTCAATAGATGACGAGAAAAAACAAAAAAAGTGTTTGAGTAACATTTATAAATATGTAAATTTGCATGAAAGCCATTTTGGCCATATTATTTTGTGATGCCTTCTATCACTTTGTTAGTTTTGCAGTTCTTATTATATACAATGTCTTAAAATAAACGATCAAAATTTGTTGTTGACACGCTGCTCGGCGTAAAACAATTGTCAATCATTCAGTCCATGTCATTATTATATTCAAATGAATGTCTTTTATTAGAGGGATGTGTGTGTAATTGATGATCAGGCAGACTGCTATTTAAACGGATATATAAATCCAAATAATGCAACGGAAGTCTGTAATCCTTCTGTATCTACAGGGAATTGGACAGTGTTAAACAGTAAGAAAGTCATCAAAATATAGCGCAAATAACATTTTCATTAAGGAGGAAAAATTAAATTATGACGAAGCATAATAATACCGTATAAGTAGAATTTTTAGCGAGGATTTAATTTTGGCATTATTAGCGAGGGTGCTGACATCGCTAAAATTTAATATCGCTAAAAATTAATTGCGTATTATTTGTAGTAGCTTCTTTAGTAAGCATTTTAAAAATCGCTAAAATTACTTCTCGCTAAAAATAAAACACCAGATTTTGGGTAGAAAACGCTAAATTTAAGTCTCGCTAAAATTTCCACTTATACGGTATTGAGCAATTTGTCATGCACGTTCTCAAACCTTAAAGAATATACAAAGAAATGGTTTGCACGTTGCATAATTTTTCAGGATTGATTGTCACATTAGGAAATTCAAATACGGACTCCTGAGAGATTTTATCATTTTTTATTCGAATGTAATAAGAATTTAATTATAGGGACCGAAATCAAGATTCGAAGATATGGCTTCCTGAGTTTGGTTGGTAACAGAATGAACACCCTAACACCTAATGTTTGGTTCACTGTTTACGGCACAACACCTACGGGACAAGGTCCCACTGGTTTGGCTATCTGGTTAGATGGAGTCAACCAATATATTGATATGATCAACCAGTCTTCTCCATGTCTGCACGATTTACTTAAATGCAGATATGGATTAACTGTCATATTCAACCTGTACTTGCACGAATTCAGAACGAAAATGTATATCTTTACTAATGGTGGTGATGAAAAAGGTTTTTATGGAATGTCTATGTGGCACGAAAGAAAACGATTATTTCTGAGCATAAGTACAAAATCTAAAATTTGGAATGTTAACACAAAATTCATAACTTTACGAAAATACATAAAGATTCAATTTTCCTGGAGCCCCCAATTTGGAATTCGTTTATATTTTGATGATTTGTTAGTTGCACAGAGCAGTAGATTCTACAAAAGATATGCCAATAATCTAGCCGATAAATTTACTGTGGGTTGCTCCCTCAATCAGCAATACTTCTTTAGGGGAGCTATAGACGGCTGGAACGTTATTGAAGCATTTATCGATACGATAAAAGCCTACAATATAAGCTTTGGTGAGTACTTTCTGATGAAAAGTAGTTGTATAAAACAGGTTGTTTGAAACATTTCATTTTTTTACGTAGTCTGATAACATGGATAAGTTTGAATGTGAAGTCATTGAGATGTACAAAACAAAGACTAGATGTTCGATGTAGATACTTTGATTAAAGGTTACTTGATTGAGTACTTTTGTTTTTATTTTATAAGATGTTCCAGAGCTCACCGAAGACCCGATTCTGGAGTTCGTTTTAGATGAAACTTCACAAGAAACCAGATTTTTGTGTAAAATTAAAGCGGGTCTTTCTGACATTGAATACACCGTACGATGGTACCAAAACGACAAGATCATCAAAGAAGAAACCCTGATCGGCAGAACAGTGGCGTCTTTAATGGAGGACGATATTGAACAACTGTTCTACGAGGATCAGGTATAATACGGAATCGTTGTCCCTTGCAATGAAGCAAAGAAAATTAGTCTTGTTCAGGACGTCATGAAAGTTTGATCTAAGAAAGAGATTTAAAAAGAAATCAATAAAAATAAATACTTGTTATTCCTTTTTACATTTTTTTCTCTTACTATTTTTATTTTGGAAATAATTCAGTTATATATACTGTATGTATGATATTTGTTTTATTTAAAATTTTTACACAGATTAAATGTTCTGTTTCCCCTTGTGTACCTGGAAACTGTGAAAGTCTTCGAGGATCCTGGAAACACAGCAACGCATTCATTGCCAAAGTCAAAGTAATATATACCTTATTGCAAACTTTGTTTTCCCAAAACTGGTTTCCACTGAAGTTTTTTTTAATTTTGAAGGAATAACAACGGAGACTGAGTGCGTTTTATCGGTTCCGTAGAGTACTGATTTTACTTTTATTACTGAAAAACTCAAAAGGAACATACTGTAATAATTATACATGTAGTTTTGTGCCTTATTCGTTTATTGTCGCAAATTCTAAGATAAAAACATTTTATGTTACTAAAGAAAATCATATGTTACTAAAATGTTTATATTTTGCCAAAATAGTAAAGTATCTCATGATAACTAAATAAAAAAAATTATGACGCGAACAAGGTATTTAATACCGTAATTTACATAAAAAAGAAAGAGGGAAGATGATTGAATTTATAGTTATAATATAAAGAACTGTTGAAAAAATTCTGTTATTTTTTCTTTTAAATTTAGGTAGTCAGTGAAACGCAGATTATTATACATGAAAGATCAGGGTATGGTATGATAAACGTCACCAGCAATATTCCACCTACACTTTTCTGTAGTAAAGAGTCCAGGAATATAAGTTGTGAAGTCGCCATAACTACAGAATTAGCAAAATATTGTAAGTGTTGAAATAACTAGTTTCCAAATAAATCTTTAAAAGACAAAGTTTATTTTTTTATTCTGGCAAATTGTTGATATTTTGAGTAGGCTTGTTCCATCTTAAATGAAAAAGTTTACTGAATTTGAATATTCAAGCGAGTTTCACCGAACAATAGACCATATGATGGCCTTTCTCTCGTAAAACTTGCGTTCCGAATGTTCGACTTTTTCCTGATCACTCGACCAATCTATAAGTGAGGGAAAATTAACTCTATGCTATAAAAACCATGCTTTCTCTCAATGAAAAATAATGAGAAATTTACAATTAGGGGTCTTATAAATTGTCTTCTACACAAGAATGAATGCTTCTAAATAATACATGTATAAGGAATGTTTTTAAGTTAAATGTGAATTACTGGTATGTAAATCACACTAAACTTAAAACAAATCTGCGTGATTTACACACCAATAACCCACACAAAACTTGTACTTTCCTAAATGTATTCCAAATGGACATCCAAAAGTAGAAAATGGATACGAACATTATGAACTTATCAACAATTTATGTCCAATGACTCCATGGCACTTGATCTCACTCCTGATATTTTTTAAGTCCGTGTATGCTCTGCTCCTATTTGTATTGTTTTATGGACTTTTGAGCTTGAATACTGTTCGTTATCACCATATATTTCATCCATGAAAAACAATTTTAGAAAATCGGAAGAAAATCAAGTTTTGCTCACAACAATATGCATCACCTTTTAGGGAAGAAATATTATTTATGCCTACCTGCCCAACTTCCGTATAAGAAGAAGAATCAACTACCATGTAAAGAATAAAAGTGATCATTTATTAAGGAGTACAAATCATAAGAACTTCACAATACATAATAGCATATAAAAGGTCATAAAAAGACACTGCACAAAAAAATGATGTGACAGGTACAAAAAATCTAACACTCCTTCAATAAATGACAATAAATCAAAAGACATATATGTACACAAAATACTACAAAACTATCATGCATTTGTATCCTGAGAAATGGACTGACTAGTAAAATTATTATGCAACAAAATTTTGGCCATTGAAGTTCCATGAATCGCCTGTTACAAGGTAGCATTATTGAATGGTTTGATGTTTTATACTATACACAGGGTGGGATTTGAAATGCCCTGGGTCGCTTTGTCCAATTAGCCAAGTGGTGTTTGGTGTGTTCAACTCACCAACTTATCAACGACCTTGTTCTCACCTGATCACCACGGATACCTGGCATTCAGGAGTAATAATTCCAGTGAAGGCTGCAGTAGATACGCTTATGGATGGAGATCAGACAAGATTTATTCGTGTATTTTTTACGACTGTGAATGAAACTAAGCTGATTTCCACTGTTCAGGTATGAAAAGCTAACGAAAAGAAATTTAACCAGTGATTTTTGTAACAAAATTAAAAGTATTTCAAATTTTATAACACTAGTAAACTCTCAAATTCAAAATTTGTTTGATATGTAGCATTATACATATATCACATGGCTTAGAGGGTGACATACCAGAATATTTGCCCCGAGGTGACAGGAAAGCCCTGGAGTGTTATGTCACTCGATGCCGAATGCTAAAGGTAAGATTTTCTACAGGAGTTTGTATTTAATGAAACATTAAAACTTTTTCAAGGTAACAGTTGTTGATGAAGATAAGATAGCAGTGTGTTCCTCAATAAATGACCCACATATCACAACGTTTGATTCGAGGTATGCTTCATATTTGAAGAGTTCCAAAACAATGATATCGATGTTTTACTCACCGTAGCGATTCTAATCAACTTTCAGTTTTGTATAAAAACAAATATTCGGGCTAATTGTCAAACGACGTCAACTTTTTTTTCATCTTGTACTCAAAAATATTTTAATTCTAAAGTGTTAGTTTTATAAAACCTAAGTATTTTGAGAAAATTAAATGAAAAGAGAGACTTACATGTGTCATTGATTATTCTTAAATTTTATCACCTTTTACATTTTATTACATACATCAATTTTAAGGTACTACGACAACTATTTGGAGGGAGAATTTATGTGACACCCACAAAGTCATTATCTTGAAGTAAGTGTTCAGATATGACTGGTGACCTTTTATCGATAAATCTATATAAAAAAAGAAAGAACTTTGTTACTCCTTTCAGTTATATATTTTCCCGACTAATGTCCATTGGTTACTCCAAGGAACATTATATATACAGGTGTATTTTTTATAAATACTATATCATATTTTAAAAAAACTTCCCTTTACATATATTATACTTAAGAGTTTTATTAAACTCAAAAAGCATTGATTTTAACCTAAAAGTTAACGTTAACATGGTAAACAAGAATCTTTTATTAGTATACTGTAAACAAGTTATTTCACGTTTCATATTATATAATATAGTTTTGTGTATTTGAAATTAATCTGTTTTGGACACATTAATCAAGTGGAAAACACCTGGAGACAAATTTTTGCAAGGAAAAATGCGTGAAACTCATGGACATTTCTCAAACGCGAATGAAAGTAATTATCATTCTTGTGATTTAGTTCTAAATATAAATATTTTTCCAAAATTTTGTCAGATGAAGAATTACTACTGTAACATGTAGTGACGCGGTCTGGAAAAATTGTAGATGTGTGCGGCCCTAATGCTGGGGCCAGACATTTTTCTAAGATGTACTAGATGGATGAGTATTTCTAAATAGATCCTATCAGAAAAAAAGACTTAATTTATTAAAATCACATTTTTAGTGTTTCAATATTTTCAAAAACAATATATGTGTTTGTACATGTATATAATTAATTTTTTGTTAATTTTTTACATTAATGGGTTCTACAGAAACGGATATATGGAGAAGGTATATAGTCAAAACAAATCAAAGTACTGAAAGTACTGAAAAGCGGTTAGCATGCTTTTCATCGAATATGTACAGTGTACAATAACAAAAAATGCATTGAATGATGACATTAAAGTAAGCATGCATATCTTTTTCCAATGTCATCAGCGAAGAAGCAGACACGCTGAATTTTGTAGTACTTAACTAAATGGTAAAACCAATAACATCCCAGACTGATGTCACAAATGTTTGTGTCAAAATATCAACCTGAGATTTTCAGTTTGAAAGACTGGAAGTTCAATTTAAAAATTTTCTCCCTAATTGTCTCCATTGGTGGCGTCCAAAAGTGCTCAGAACGAAAAAAAAATCATGTTGATGTTGCAAATTTAATTGGCTTTCATGGTCTATTGATTCTGAAATTAGGTAACTGTAAAGGCTACTATAGCAAATAACTCTAAAAGAAAATAAAATGATAATTCAAATTCTTTAGATTAATTGGTTTGGAGTACTGTACATAGATCTTTAGCTGGCTAGTCTGAGAAAAATGGATGGACGAGCAGAGAATTAATTAATTAATTAATTTCAGAGAGCTTCAGTTTCGTAGGCTCACTGCGGGTCAGCAGGTGTGACCTGTCATTGGGGATGCTTACTTCTCCTAGGCACCGGAACTTTCAAGGATCCGTTTTTCTTTTGAGACCGATCACTGTTCATTCTATATTTTGATACAGATACTGAGTACATCTGTTTGTTAATATTATGAACTATTTCTCTCACAGGAAGAAAGACAAGTAAACAAGATAATAAAGTTTTAAGAAAATGTACATTTTTGACTTTTCATACAATTAAATGTTCGAATAAGTAAATGGTATATGAAAATTATTTAAAAAAGAGTCTTACAAGATATGTATAAACGAACATATACTGAGTATTTGGTAAATATTTTTCATGAAATATTGTATAAAAAAAACGTGTGAAAAGGAAAATTGTTGTTTAATCCATCAAAACTAGTATTTTAAAAATTCAAAGGTTCACTAAAAGTCAGTGTATAAAAAACAATTTAATTGTCCATTGCAGGAATAACCTAGGTATCATTGTCACTTTCTTCAATATGTCGCATAAGCAATAAATTGGTTTTTTTTTTTTTTTGGTTTTTTTTTTTTTTTTTTTTTTTTTTACTAAAAACAAGTATGCGAATTTCTATCAATATGCCTGTAGGCATCTGTATTTTAATTTTTATTTCTTCTCAAAGGCTCAAAATGATAATTAACAAATTGGACAAATTCAAATTTAAAAAGTATTTTTACAACTTATACCTTGCATAGGAAATTAACAAACTTTCAAAAATAATCATTCATTAGATATAATTTTCAATTTGTGCTAATTGTCAAGATTTTTCATGCCTCTTTTTTCTGTGCATATTGGTTTCAAATATGATATTTCTCGCTATACATTTCTTCCTAAAGTTTAAATCTAACGCGTTGATAATGTTATCAGCTAAACTTCATGCTGACTTCGAATTTCGTCACAGGGCCCGATCGCCATCAGCTGATGTCACGGAAATTTAATCTCGACACCAAATGCTCCTATACATAAACTTTTTTTAATACAACAATTATAAATTTATTTCATTGACAAACAAAATCAGAAAAAAATTAAAAACCGAAAGATAATGTTGTTTTGATAGTCTTGATTTTATTTAACATATGTTATATGTGTTAGAAACAAATCATAGGTACTAGGTAGAGGCTTTGTTGAAGTTTCCGTTGTCGATAGGTAGCGCTTTATGGAAGTTTCCGGTGTCGATAAAAATCGGACACATGCCATAAAGCGCTAGCGAAGCTAACCGCTTGAAAATAGCCTTTTCGTATTATATTTACATTATCTGCATAAAAATAACGTTAGAATGCAGAAAACACAAAAATAAACAAGCAGCCCCCAGCACAATTTAAAATAGAAGGGGCACTAGACTAGTTATATCTCTACATATGTCTAAAAAGTCAAATTATATATAGTTAAGTGGGTATCGTCGAAATTTTAAAATTTTAGAGCATGTGATTATAGTACTTTTATCTATAAATGTGCCTTATTTAATGAGGCAACGTATCATATTCAATAGTTTTGAACTGTTTTGACCGAATTGGTCGTAATAGAATATGGTTTTTGCAATCAAAGGTCGGCTGCAAACAAATACAACCACTTCAAAACTATTGAATCGACAGGTGTCCTTGAAGACATGCAGCCAATTAAGGTTTCGTCAAAGGTCAACATATCTAAAAAAATATTGTTACGATAGCTCCAAAACTATGTATGGTATAAAGTTGAAACGTTTACAGTTGATAAATATATCATTGATTAATAGATAGAAAGTATCACTTGATAACAAATATTTTAAATAAAGATTTGTTTGGAGAAAAATTGTATCAGAAAATGTGCATATTTTTAAAAAAATGCACCCACATTATTCTGTCCTTTTTGTGAAAACCATCATTGCAGAAATAATATATGTTTATCATTGAAGGGCAAGTTGGACATGAATGGTCTCTGAAAGGCTGTTATTGAAAGCATGACATGTATAAAGACAAGACCCCTATAAAATCCGCCATTTGCAATGTACTTTCACTTTCAAGTCTTAACATTTGGACAAAATAAACAGGGAAAGCAACTTTCCAGAGACTATCCAAGTCCAACTTGCCCTTCATTGATAAATATATTTTGTTTCTGCAGTGATGGTTTTCACGTAGAGCACTGAATTAATAAGGTGTATTTTTTGAAAATATATGCATTTTTAAGAAGCATTTTTCTCAATTAATATTTTTTCAAAGTATTTTTTTATCAAGTGATACTTTCTATCTGTTAATCAATGATATATTTATAAACTGTAAAAGTTTTAAATTTATACCCCACATAGTTTTGGGGCTATTGTAAAAATAAATTTTTGGACATGTTGACCTTTGATGAAACCAATGTCAGCTACCGTAAGGATGTACAAGGACTCATCTACTTTAGTTAAGGCTAGGAAGGCGAAAGGTTTTCTTATGAATCTGGATTCTGAGTTTCTAATGCAGACTATTGAGACAAAATGAAAGATTTGCAAGCTGTTTTTTCCAGCATAGAAACGGAAGTTGAAGAACCTAAGGGTTTGAATGCGTTTTCCTTTCACAGTGACCAGTCTTTTACATGTACGGCTTAGTGCTAAAGAGATAACATTCTGGCTTTCAATGTTATTTTAATAAACCCATACATATTCTGACTTAAGGTCAAGATCTAATAAATAACTTGAGACTGATTTTTTGGTGCTAGATCCATTATGACGTCATAATCAATTTCAACTTTCTTTTTCCCGTACTTTACGGCTTTAGCAGAATTATGTAGAAAACTGGGTATTTTCATGTCATTCAATTTGAAATCATATGAAAAGTAAACCGGATACCTATATTAAATTTGAGATTGATTTAAAGAAGAGGCCATGAACATACTAATTACCGTTTTCTGAGAGACTGTAGGCAATCTGGGTACATTTTCTTTGCCGAATACGAAAAAAATACCATATTCATGACTGGTTTTCTTAATTTTTCATTGAAAAAATGACAGTTTAAAACACAGTATTTCATCGTGTTTACCTACAAATTATGCCCCGAAACACCTTATTTGACCAAGCTAAAGTTGTAAAGCATCAATAAAGGAATTTATTTCTCAAGTTTGATAAATCTGTAGGCACCTTTCATTTACTAGATCTTGACCTTAAGGGTTTTCCGGTATAATAACGTCCGCATACATAAAGAAAATCGGTGATCTTAGGTATCTCTTTAGATCAAAATATAAGCAACTTACCTCTGCCCACTCGATCACTATACAGTACCGACTAGACCCAACCTGACACAAAGCAGTCCCACAGCAGTCCCAGGGCAGTCCCACAGCGGTCCCAGAGCAGTCCCAAAGCAGTCCAAGAGCGGTCCCATAGAGCAGTCCCAGAAAGCAGTCCCAGTGTGCGGGGTTTATTAATTTAATAGGCGGAGCTAACTCAGAAATGAGATTTGCAGTAAACAATGGAACTATAAAAGGCAGTAGAAATTGATTCTTGGTAGTATGCCAGGAATCCTTACATGTATGCGAAGGTCATTTATGAACAGTACGCGCATGGAAACAAATTGAATGATTATTTATTGAAGGAAGAAGGCTTTCACACGTACATGTACATGTATGAATTAAACTGAACACGAACATTTAAT